GGTCTACCTTGAGCCTGCGCCTGGGCCCCAGTACCTGTACCCAGGCCCAATGCAGATGGGGCCCAGGTAATACAGTTGCGCCCCTTATGCTAGGGTCGTTGTCCAGATTCAGACCCCGTACATGTTTCCCATTGGCTTCCCCGGCCTCTACGATGAAATACTGCTTTTCCATAGGCCAGGGACCAATGTGTGATGTGTCGGTCTCCCAGACTGTCGCCCAGGGCTCAACCAACCCAGGCCCTGGGCTCAACTGCCTCTGTAGAAGAAGGGAGGCTCACAATGTGCTTCAACCAACTGGCGTGCGGCAACTGTCTGATACCCACTTTGGGAAATGCTGAATGAAGGCCTCTTCGTGGATATTCTGGCCCGCCTTCACTTAGGGCGGGCACGGGGCTTGCTGGGGGCCTATGCCCAGAACACATGCATGTCGGCAAGGCCCCGTTGAGGGCTCAATCCTCACATTCCATCCCCCTTAGTCCACTGAGATGCTTACTTCGCAGGTGCCTTCCCCTTTAGCTTTCTTTCATATTCAGCCACCACCTGAGGTGCTGTTTCAATCAGTTCCTCTCTGGTGAACCACCGATCTTCTTTTGGATCTGTGTGATGCCTGAATTTGACTTTGTATTCTCTCTTGGGTTTTGGAGGTCTTCCTCTGCCAAGAGGTCTGGGAACAGGCATGTCTATGTGTTCCAGGATGTCGTCGATGTCCACGTGGCCATCCATGGTTGGGGGCAGCATTGATCTCCGCGAAGGAAATTGATCTGTCTCAGCGAAAGGTGCAAGCTTTGAGTCGTGAAACACAGGGCGAGTGCGCAGGTGACCAGGGATTCAGATAACATAGGAAGGACCATCCAAGTCATCCCCAACTACATCCAAGACTTCCCAGGGACCGAAATCCTGTGGCATTAGTTTACGAGAGATTTCGAATTCCTGTCCTAGCTCACTAGCCTTGACCCAGACACGTTCCCCTACGTGAAATGTGGAATGTCGACAATGTTTGTTCTCAGAAGCAATCATTGCTTCTTGAGATTTCTTGATGTGCTCGACAACTTGTTGCAGCAACTTCTCATATTGCACACCATACTCAAGTGTGCCCGGAGTTGTAGAGGGTCGGTTTTCAGGTAGGAGGAAGTCTAGAGCAGATCTAGGCTTCCATCCCAAGTGCAGTTGGTTAGGACTAACGCCGGTTGTGCGGTGCACAACGTTGTTGTACAGGCTGGCGATGAGAGGCAATTTCTCATCCTAGTCATCTTGGCTATGCTTAATGTAGTGCCTCAGCAGATGTTGCACAACTTTGTTCATCTGTTCGGCCTGTCCATTGGCTTCGGGATGATTCCCAAAAGTCATGTGAAGTTGACTGCCCATTTTCTCAGTAGTCTTCTTCCACAACTCATTTGTGAAGCGGACGTCTCTGTCACTAATGATTGACTTTGGCAGTCCAAAATCGCGCACCCAGTTGTCCATAAACAACTTGATGACGTGCTCGGTCCTTGCAGTCTCTGGCATGGCAATCAGTCTAGCATACTTGGTGAATCGGTCTATGATGACAAAGATGTGCCGCTTGCCACTCCTGCTGGTTACCAAGGTGTCCATGAAATCCATGGAAACACTTTGTCCCGGACCAGTGGGGATAGGCAAGGGCTTCAGCAACCCAAGCGGTGCTTGAGTTCTCGGCTTGTCCCGCTGACAGACCTGACAGGTCTCCACATATTTCTTTGCATCATCTAGCATTCCGGGCCACCAAAATCGTTGTACTAGATTGGCACTGGTCTTTTTGTAGCCAAAATGTCCAGTTGCGTCATTGCATTCACCTAGAAATAAACTACGCAAATTTTCACTAGATGGAACAACTAATCTTTCAATCCCAGCCTTTCTCAGAAAGAGAAACCCATCCACCATCACAAACTCATCTTTAGTGGCCTTGTCTTTAGCCTGTAGCTTGCGGATGATGTCCATCGTGACAAGGTCGTCCGGATAGGCTCCCACCAGCGATTGAGTTACTCTTCAGATACGCCAAATTCAGAAACTAGCGCCCCTAGGCAATCTGCCCTACGTGACAGCGCATCTGCAACCTTGTTGTATTCTCCCTTTAGATACTCTAGCTTGAAGTCATATTGATCTATGACTTCAATCCATCGCTTGAGTGCATCAGAAAGAGCAGGTTGAGTATTGATCCATTTTAGGGTCTGGTGGTCAATTCTCAAATAGAAAAACCGCCCCAACCGAAAGTGCCTCCAATGGACAAGTGCCTTATAGAGAGCATAGAGTTCCCTTGCCAGCACTGCGCCAATGCCATATTGGCTTGCATCAGTGGTTACAATGAATGGCTTATGAGGATCGGGCACCATGAGAACCTCGTGATTCATGAGTGCATGCTTCAATTGTTTGAAAGCAGCCTCGCACTCATCACTCCAATCCCAAGGCGTATCAAGTCGAGTGATATCAGTGAAAGGAGAGGCGACCGTGGAATAGTTTTTCACAAAGTTCCTATAGTAGCTGCACATCCCTAAGAAAGATCTGACCTCAGTCACTGTCTGAGGTCGTGGCCAGTCCCTTATGCTAGCCACTTTCGCATTTTCCGGCCTAATCCCTGCGGCGGGTACTTCATGACCCAAGTACAAGATCTTAGTGCGTCCGAATTCGCATTTCTCTAAGTTGACCTTATACTTGTGCTGCCGCAGGAGTGAGAGAACAATCCCTAAATGTTGTGCATGCTCCTCGACAGACTTACTGAAGACAAGAATATCATCGAGGTACACGACAACAAACTTGTCCAAGTAGTAATGGAAGATCCTATTCATGGCGTGATGGAATGTACCCAGCGCATTGCAAAGGCCAAAGGGCATCACCACAAATTCATACAGACCGTACCTGGTCTGAAATGCGGTTTTGTGCTGATCCTCAGGTCTTATGGCAATCTGATGGTAGCCGGACTTTAAGTCTATCTTGTTGTAGTACTTACACCCCTGCACCCTATCCAATAGGTCGTCTATGCGAGGCAGAGGCTCTGCGTTCTTCACCGTGATGGCATTGAGGCCTCTGTAATCAATGCACATCCTTAACGATCCCCCCTTCTTCGGTACAAACAGCACTGGAGATCCGAAGGGGGAAGTACTAGGCCGTATCCAACCCTTTTCTGTCAGCTCTTTCAGTTGTCTTCGGAGTTCGTCCAAGTCGGCCGGAGCCATCCTATAGATCCTTCCCCTTGGGGTTTTACTCCSTGGAATTATTTCTATGGCGTGGACAATCTCCCTATCTACGACTCTCGTGGGCTCCTCAAACAGAYCAGGGAACTTAGTAACGACGTTCTCTATCTCCGGGGGTGTTTTAACGGCCTCCCCTTTCTCAGAGATATAGACTAGGTACATACCCTCCTCTTGGTTCTGTTTATAGTAGTTGTAGAATGCTGATGCACACAAGCACCTGTAGGAGTCTAACAACCTGCCAACCTTGTACTTGGCCAGTCTCACGGTCCTCCTATCAGGCAAAGCATCTTCTTGTCCCAGTCAAACTGGGGCTTGGCAACCTCAAGGTAGTACATTCCTAACAGCATGTCGAACGGTAAGTTATCACTAACCAGGAACGAAATTCTGTGATTAAGTTCCCCTCCTCCATAGGAGAAGGTGCAGACTACATCCTTGACATAGTTTGTCACTACCATGCGCTCCTTGCTGGCCAAAGTAGATGCTACTGGTCTACTAAGATGCTATACCCGGTCCTCTAGGTGCAGCCTTTCCAAACAGTCGCGACTTATGTAATTCCGCGTGGAGCCGATGTCTACCAAGGCACCACATTTCCGGCCTCCTACAACAACTTCCACGACGAAATGTTCCCCTCTAGGACCTCTACTTAGTGCCACCCAAGATTCGCGAGGGTCCTTGCTTGACCACTCACTTTCTAAATCTTCTAAGGCCTCAGACACATCCAACGTACAGAGCATGGTTTGGTCTGGGTGTGTCTGCGGGGTGACTAAAGAGTCATTAGCTATGGCCATCTCATGAAGTGGGGAGGGTATCTGGCCCACTTCACCATGAGTAGAAGCAACTCAAACTTCCACCGGCCTCAAGTGTTTCCCGAGTAGGAACTGGTCCCAGCCTGGGAAGAAGGCACCCCTCCCTTAAGGGGTATCTTCTGCGTGACCTTTGCGTTCTTGCACTTATACTGGGTGTGTCCGTATTCACCACAGTTAATGCATGCACCACGCACTCGGCGGTTGCGCCACACTTCCTGATCAAGACCTGCCTTAACCCTATCTGCTACTTTGGACTGATTGGAGGCGGCCTGCCCTTGACTCTTTTGATGGCGCCTTTACTGCGGCCACCAGCCTTTGCCTTGACTACTGTGGCGAGGGTGCTACCCTCGGCGATTTCCTCGCCGTCGTACTCTGTCGTCGTACTCTGAACTGTCCATCAGGTCGGTAAGTTCTTCGATTTCAGTTTGAGTCCCATCGGACTCAACCATCATCAATCTACTACCCTTCTTTTTCCCCTCCTGTGGACTCTTCTTCTTTCTCCCGTCTATTGGAGTAGGTTGAGCACTTCCTAGAGTAACCTCCAAATCTAAGGCCTTTCTAGAGGTCTCAAAGGAATGATACTCGAGGCGAGCCTCGCTGGCCAGTAAGGTCCTGAGATTCTCGGGCAGACATCTCAGAAACATGGTCAATAAGACCTGGTCATCATAGCGTATACCGGGAACGACGATGAGGTTCTCTACGGTAGACGTCAACTCTCTGACAGACTTGTACCTTCGTTGGTCCAGTCTGAGCATCGCATCAGTGGCAATTTGTGCCTGCTGCGGATTATGCCAGCGAGCTTCTACCATGTCTAAGAACTCTTCTAAAGTGAGGGTTTTACCCCAGTCTGCCATGCATCATCCGAACCCAGCCTTAGCTACTATCCCATCTAGCCATTTGGCTGCCTTACCCTCGAGGTAAGATGCAGCAGTAATCACCTCCTCCTCCTGCAACGTCCTCTTTGCCCTTACCCACATCGGAACCGTCCTCAACCAAGTGTTGAGTTCCTCATCCTTCTTCTCACCGGAGAAAGCAAGGGGCGGCTTCATCGGGGTATTTGGGTACCATGGACTTTGCTGCTGTCCCTGAGGTGGAACAAATTGTTGCGGCTGTGATGTAGCTCCAGCCGCTGGACCAGAAGAAGAAGAAGCAACAGTCTGTGCGGCTGCTGCAGACGTACCACTTGGCTGTGTGCCAACTTGTACCGGAAAGGGGCCTGACATCGCCGTTAGCGGCAACGGCGACTGTGCTGCTGGCCGTAATCCTGGCCTTTGCAAAAGGTCCAAGATTTGATCCAAGGAATTCTGCATGAAATCCAGCCTGCTGTCCACATGCGCATGCAGTGACAGTATGTCGGACCTTAACACTTTCATTGTGTCAGACATTGCTGACTCATCTAACTCCTCTAACGCAGCTTTGTCTGCCTCTAACGTATCAAGCCTGGCTGTTCTATTTCTAATCTCATTTTCCCTATCAGTAATGTCTCTCGACTTGTTGGAGCTCGACTTGTTGGAGCTCGACTTGTTGGAGCTCTAGTAGCTCTCTGTCGCGTGGGGTCAACGGACTGAACTGCGAGCCCGCCATTTGACTTGTGGACCGACTGGAACCTACTGATCCGGAAGTACCCGTGGGTCCAGGGGGCATCCCCAACTGGGTCCCAGACAAGGATGCAGCAGAGGATGCTGCCGCGGTAGCCGTTGCTGCTGCGCTGACTGTTGCTGCTGCCCATTCCCTAACTGCGGCGTTTGTTGCTGCGAACGCCTGACTTGCAGCTAGTGCTATTTCCCTCGTTGCTGCGTAAGCACGAGCTCTAACTTCGGCACGAAGCCGTCTTTGTCTCCCGGTCGTAGGGCCTGATACACGTGCGGGACCCTGAGTGATCTCAAACGTGTCAGCCTCGCATCGTCAACTCTACCCTCACCGGCGTCTGACCCACTCATCAGTTAAGCGAACACTATCTGCACTACAACTCCCTGATGGAGTCCTACCACAGCATGTGTCTGACCGACACCTAATTTTCTAGAAATAGATTTGTCTGGCAGGTCCCCTACTTAACCGATCAAGTGGCAGCCTTACAACATTCACAAAGACTATAAACATAATCGAATTTTATTCAGATTAGTTCACTTACAGAAGGTTTGCATAGAACTGGATATGGTAGTATACTACAGTCCTACACTAGCTGTTTGTGAGGTGTTAGCAATCTGTCAACCAACTAATCAAAAATAAAACTAAATTATGTTGCAGATGTATGAACAGTGGATATGGTTGTGTTTACAGTTGAGCACCAATTGGAACCTACCCTCCCCTCAATCCACCATACGGATGAGCATCAATGAGCAGCAGTGTCATAGGTGTGCAATGTTGGCCCACCCCTGTGCCCTAGGTGCATGCTTATGACCAGGCTTGCCCGTTATTTATCCTCGCGTGCAACGAGTCGTACGTCCGACTGATCTGGCTGATCAAGAGGCTTATTTAAGGACTGCCCCCAAGGTCACTCAAGAATTATTTAACGTCGCAATTAGGACGATGATCACAGCCAGTGAACAGATCGGAACCCCATCCAGAAATGTTTATAGACAGAATGGGAGCGTTTGCATAAGCCTGTTCAGTCCGCACACCCCTCTATCAACGCAGCAAAAGAGCACCAATGGACAAAGCAGCCATTGCATGCGTGTACTAATCTCATTGGGTTGGCATGGTGACCGTGACCCATGTGCTTCGACCAGGGCCCTTCAGAGGCACCGCCCTTTCTCCTTCCAGATGCGCCACCGGGAAGATTGTCGTCTCTCAAGGTAGAGCGCTCACCACACCTTACCAAAAGAGAGGACTCTCAAGTTGGACTCACTTCCTCACGGTAAGAAGAGATTGAGAGGGTAGATAAGGTAAGGGAACAACGTACCTGGAGATGGCTGCCCCCAACCACAAATTTCTCACCAATTGAGCCGAATGTGCATTTGATGACCGTTCGTAGCCTCGGTACCACTCACAATGCAATGCAGTGCCACCTCAGCCAAATGCCACATTAGCATGCTCTCATCACCATACGTACATTCTGTCGTCGCCACGACATCCCAAGCCGTAAAGCCTTCCGACGCACACCTCTCTACCCAGGTCGTGCGCCTATTTGCGGCTCGACGTCACAAGAACCAACTGCGAAGAAGCATCGTCACCGCACCAAGTCTGTATAACGCTGGCGCACCAAGGCAAGTGGCGAATCGAACCAGCTCTGATACCAAATTGCAAGGAACATGAATGTGGACGAAGCACATAAATCCCAATTGCAAATCACACTGAAGTCCAAGTAGTCAAAGCAAGAGCAGATAACACATTGGAACGAAGCGACCATCCATTTGAGAACGATACAGCAAGAGTCGTGAGTCAATGTCCAAGCCCAATCGGGCAACACCAACAACATAACCCGAAGTAGCCCTCTCTCTTGAATGGCGCCAGATGCCCTATCTACTCTACCGCCTATCCTACAACTACAGTCATGGAAGCAACCAGACGACTTGACGACTAGCTAGTGATGACGTCAACACCAATGCCGACCTCCTCTTCCACCAGGTACGTCACTCTCTCTTGTCCCTCACTCTCCCTTGTTATCCCACATAGCGCCCTTCACCTCCCAAAGAACCACCGTCGCCCTCACCTCCTCCAGCGCTCTCATGCAGCCTGGCTATGGCTGCCAGCGCCTTGCGCCCAGGCTGCGCCCTACACCTCAGTGCCAGCCTGCCTTCTCTCAACCTAGCGCAGCGCAGCACCTGTCTCTTATACACATCTAGATGTGTATAAGTGCGCCCTACACCTCAGTGCCAGCCTGCCTTCTCTCAACCTAGCGCAGCGCAGCACACTCGCAATGCAACAGCGTGTCGGCCTTGCTCGCAATGGCCAAGATCCCTGCCCACTCGCTCGCTCTGCCTATATGCNGGTCTACCTTGAGCCTGCGCCTGGGCCCCAGTACCTGTACCCAGGCCCAATGCAGATGGGGCCCAGGTAATACAGTTGCGCCCCTTATGCTAGGGCCGTTGTCCAGATTCAGACCCCTTACAGGTTTCCCATTGGCTTCCCCGGCCTCTACGACGAAATACTGCTTTCCCATAGGTCAGGGACCAATGTGTGATGTGTCGGCCTCCCAGACTGTGGTCCAAGGCTCAACCAACCCTGGCCCTGGGCTCAACTGCCTCTGTAGAGGAAGGGAGGCTCACAATGTGCTTCAAACAACTGGCGTGCGGCAACTG